TGAAACATGTCAAACTTACTTACTTTTCTAGAGGCAGGAAACCGGAAAAAACCACATTTCAAACAGTCAAGCTGGAGTGGGACAGTTTCAGATAAGGCCAAAACTTAGAAAAGCCTTCGTAAAATGTTGGGATTGGGATGCGTTTGACCACTGACTGCTCGAATTTCAAGGTTCCTAATAGGAAAATCCAAACAGCAAATATATAATTTTATTCCAGTTCAGTTTAACAGACACTGAAAAACACTTCCAACAATTTTTAGCGTTTTTTATAGGAATTCGCATGATAGGGAATATCCTGCTTGATAATTGAACGACGATGTGCGTAACAGGGCTAGTGCAATCATAAGTTTTAGCGATTATTTATCATAGTCCGTTTTTAAAGAAGAGTATTGGCAGAGAAAATATTGATGCCTAATTCCAGGTCTTTTTTTATCACTGAAGTCACGAAGAATCAAACTTTTTAGCTTCAAAAATTTCTTTTCCCCGAATATTTTTACTTCTTATTTTACTAATTTTATAGCCTTTTTTCCTGCAGTTTGTTTCACGATTTGTTCATTCGTTTCGATAGTAAATTAGTACTATGCCAAGGAGTCGAATCTGCCATCAGTTTGCTTCTAAGCAACCCTCGAAAAAGAGGGAACAACGATTGCCCTGTTAATAATTGGCTTAATCAATTTTAAGTGGTGGATCGTCAACAGCACGTAAAAATTCCTTTATATGTACTGGTCGAATTCTCGTTCTGGGTTCATAGATCATGGAGACATAGGAGGGCTTGAAAATTGCTTTCAGGCTTGTAGCTAACCAATAATTATATCCTGAGATTTCAGCTTCCCAGCTTTCATAATTGTTCAGTTTAGATTATTCGAACGCACATACAATCAGCGTATAATGAGTTTCATATTTGCATATGCAAAAGCACATGAGAGGGCCATTTCCAGGAATGGGGAAGCACTAAATCTAGGCCTATTGAGCTTATGATAGGAAATATTACGGTTCTAAAATTGATTTTAGTTTTGTTAAAAAAAAAGGTTTGCCATAAAGGCAGTTTAAAAATCCTTGAAATTTTAGCTTGTTAGCTTTTGTGGGCTTAGTTCATCCGAATAGAAACATGTAAGCATAGCCTCGATACAGTGAAGTTTCACACCTGCATATATGAAAGACCAAGGCACCGCATAATCGCCCGAGACAGTCGGCGTGGCTGGTAGGGCGCATTGTATCAGATCTTTTAATCCTGGGCTGCATACCTCCTCCTCCAGTTAATGCCCGCCGTCTTGCAAAAAAAAGGCTAAATCCCGGAAATGTGAATCATAGCGTAATGCAACAATTATTCTATGCTTTGTGGGCCCGTGGCAGAAACATAAAATGAGCATGCATAAATCTTCCGTAAATATGAACGAGTGGAATCGTGGCCACACTGAACAATGCGCAAATATAGCACAATGGTGCATGATCGAATTGCTCCATCTGCTCCCGGTGGAAGCGTACAAGGAATGGTGCAACTGCTGCAGCACCGACCAACGTAGCACGACTCATCGCTGCCGCTTTGCCAATATTGCCACGTCCAGCATGTCCAAGAATTTGTGCCGAAAGTTGGCCAGTTGCAAGACTCACACCCATCATCTGCAGAAAATAGGCGTTAGTTATGCATTTTTTGCACATTAAACGAATGAATACAACCATATGCTCTATATAATTATACATATACTTGTGGGAAGATAAAATTTATATTTATTATTGTTATTATTATTATTGTTATTATTATTGTTATTATTATTATTGTTATTATTATTATTATTATTATTATTATTATTATTATTA